AATTTAGTATCAACATGAGCCCATAAAAAAAATCCTATTTACACATGTTTCTCATCCTTCTCGCCTTCTTACAAAATTTGCATAAATCTATTGCATTATGTCTACTTATCATCGTTTCATGTCAACAACAAACTCAGCATAACATAACGTTAATAGAATTAAGTTTGAAAATATATTTTTACCAATATTCAATGGAAAGTAAAAAATATATTAGTTTAGTAAACTAAACCTACAAAGATCTTGATTCAAAATCTAGATTTTTAATATACAACTCCTGTAAAATAAAAAGGTAATAGAAGACCAGGTTTGTTGAAGACAGCATAATTATTATAACTCAAAAACCATTTACTAAAAGATGGACAAAAGAGTTATTTTCGACACTTCATCACAATACCAGAAATTAATGAGCAGAAATTGATTAATATATGCATGAGGAAACACTCTGTGATTAACTATGAGAGATTTTATTGATTTTTTGAATTTTATCGGCATAAAACATAATCGAAATCTCAGAGTCTAATAAAATAAGAGATATTATTTTTTTAATAATCAGTTTATATAGTCGTTAAAAGAAAGCAACTTTTGCTATTTGCGCAAAGAATAAATATAAATACTACGAATTTGTCTATTTTGAAGGAAACGGTACATTTTCATTTTAACCTTCCATTACCATCTCTATTTTAAACAAATTGCTGGCCACCATGCGTTATCGAATGCGCCTGCTATATCCACTGTAATCAAAGAAGACAGTTCTCCTTGCCTGTGTTTCAATATTTTTTCCATTATATCTTCCATTGCACTGTTCGTTGAATTATGTTTAGTAAATCCGTGTTGTCTCGCACTCATTAGATTGTTCTCTTCATAATATTTATTGATTTTGGTTTTAATTATATTTTTCAAAAATTTTAGAAATGTTTGACGTTAATGTGATATTGGTCTATAGCTTTTGCTTGTTTCATAGTTTTTTTAATCAGATTTTGAAATTATCTCTACAGTAGAGTCTTTCCATATATCCGGATAATAACCTAATTCAATACATTTGTTGAATATTTGTTGCATCATTAAAAATACATTTCTATTTTTATTCATACATGGGTTCAACTTTATATGTAATTTGTTTAAAATTCGAACACGTGCAAAAGCCGCATAGAGCTGTCCATGCGTATGTAGCAAGAACCCAAATATTATTTATAGTCATAGCAAAAGCCAACTTTAGTGAAAACTGACGCCTCTTAAGAATGAAGGAAAGGCTGATATCTGAAGGAGCAAAATATATTTTTGGCACCAAAACAGTGTGGTCCAACATTGGTCCCTGTTAGTATTTGTGATTCAACTCTACTTGTATGCTATCTGAAGTTCACACACGTAAAAAAGCCACATACGAGCTCGTAGAGCTGTCTATGCATAAATACAGGCTCTTGTGGCAAGAGACCCACAGGAATTAGCTAGCTGTTCTGACTCAAAGTTAAATTAAAAATCTGTATTTCTTAATATTTTGCTTTTCTCTATTTTCCAAAAGAAAAATACTCTTAATATATATATATATATATTTATAAGATATTAAAAAGGCATATATTGGATTTTGAAAACTATTTATTTGCCAATATTTCGGTTGGCTGAACGCCAAACCTTTATCAAGACATTTCATTTTTGTATAAACAAACTCAGTACAGCATATATATATATATATAGATGAAAATTTGCCGGGAGGATATTGATCCAAAGAGCCAATGGTCGCCTCTCCCGTCAAAATAGACGTCATATATTGGATATATATATATATATATTGATTTTAGATAAATAACATACTTTTAAAATTATTGTGAACTTTCACATCTTGGTAAAATTTAATTAGAAACTACTCTTATTTTAAGTGATTCTCGTAAAAATATAATATTTACCAAACAGCGAAAATGCATATAAGGTTCAAATTCATGTTAATATTTCAAACTTTTGCTAATATCATCTTAATTCTATTTTATATAGATACATATTTATTTCAATACTAAATAAAGATATTTCCAAGATCGAAACCTAACTTATAAAAACGTATACCAATGTTAATTTGGTGTTTTAAAGATTTAAAAAATAATTTTAAAAGCAGCTCCATCTATATAATTTTGTTATATGCATTAAGGAAATATCTTATTCATGGGGCTGTTAATTAGAATGAATGATTTTTGAGGCCCGAGATATACATTAAATTTATTAAATTTCAATCTAGAGTATTGCAATATTTATAAATATATATAAATTTCTCATGTCAGTTTTGGTAAAAACAGAATGTTTATAATTCCTCATTGATTGATTAACAAGTTAACCATATAATCGTAAGTATAGAGGTTGTCTGGCCGGTATTCATATTTCTGTGAAAAATAAACACTGCGGCCAGTTAGAATTTTATTTTCTCAACGTTTCGACAAAATTATTTTGTCTTCGTCAAGAGAAGTAAATAAAAGTTGGCCAAATGCTTTATTTTTATTTACTTCTCCTGACGAAGACAAAATATTTTTGTCGAAACGTTGACTGTGGCCGAAGTATCTATTTTCATAGAAATATTGACCATATAATGCCAGTTTCATTGTTTAGATTCATAATAGATGATATTTTATTTACATATGCTTACTCATTTACATCGTCTATATACTAAATTGAGATTTATGAAGTATTTTAGTTTATAATAGGTGGATATATTTGAAAAATTCACAGGGTATCCAGGTATTTTCAAAATATTTGTGTGATATTTATTATACTGAAGCAATTTCGGGTCAACAAGTGTCTCCATCTAGAAGCTCTTCTTGAGCCTAGAGCCGAAAGTAGATGAAGACACTACTTGATTATATGAACATGGATTCTTCTCTTTGTTAAAGATACTTCTAACCTATATAATTAAATGAAAAAAAATAAAACAATAGAAAAAATAAAGAATAAAAAGGTCAGGTGTTGATACTAAAAATAAAGAATGCATATCCTGACCAAAAGCACATGTGCCTTTAGAGGTAGTGGTACAGCCTACTCCGCGCCGACAAGTGCCAACGGCGCGAAACGTGGATGGCTTTTCTTGATTTATCACTAAATTGGGTTGGCCAAATACAAGGGAACGGGTTAAATCAATGTTTAGTTGATTTCTGTTTCAGTAGATGGCGCTCTGTCATCTAAAAGGTACATGTGCTTTTGGTCAGGATATGCTTTCAATATCTTAAATATAATTAGATATATTATTGTGATTTCATATACTGATTTGTTTTCTTATTTTTGATGAAGAGAAATGAACACACACACACAGTTTATATATGTAAATAAATATATATTGCGTGAAAGAAAATGAGTTAATGGTACTGATGAGAGAGAGATTTTTCCTTAAGAAAATAAAAGCTTATATTTTGTGGTGGCAGAGATTGGAGGCAACCAATAGGTGGAAAACACGAGATATATGTGTATAAAAAGACAAGGGTAAAATAAACGTTAAAATAGACCTTAAAGCTAGATGCAATCTATTGACCGTCATCGAAAACAAGAGGTCCGGGTCGGTGAAAGGCCACAACAACAGGTTTGGCAAACTGAAAAGCGTCCACCTAGAGACAATGGTTTCGGGCTAATGGCCCTCGTCAGTTTAGAGCGGTCGTTTAGATTGCGTCTAGAATTGACGTCTATCTTGACGTCTATCTATATTTGCGTATAGTGCCCGACATTCAAATTAATGTGTATTCGGGAAAATGAAGATTTTGATAATTCAATTAAACATTGCCAAGGATTTGCTTCACCTTGAATCATATCAAGGTTGAAATTCAATATGTCCCACCACCCTTGTGCGGGATTGTTGTACAGGGCTCTGGCACATTTGTAAGTGCAAAGTCGAACTGCTTTTGCACATGTGTAGACATGTGGTGTACTTACAGTAAAAGCAGTCGCCTACCTCTACCCACCATGATTTCCATGGTCTGTACCATGTGTATAGGGATAATAACAATTATACTTTTATTTGTAGAACGACGTTAGGCAAGTTTTACCGCAAATGTTTCTTTTGAACGAAAAATCGTAATTTATCTAAGGAGAAATAACGACTTTTCTATCCTTAGATATGAAGTATGAAAGAATGAATTGTGAAGAGTAATAATGAATGGAAAAATAAATTTTTCAGGGATGGGAACACTGTGGGTTCGCTCCCCATCCCTGGACAATTTTATTTTTCTGTTCATCATTACTCTTCACAGTTCATCCTTTAATACTTCATATCTAAGGATAGAAAAAAATCGTTATTTTTCCTTAAGATAATTTAAAATACAATATAACGCGGCTGATGATTGTAAAACGAAAATTGCAATTATACCGCGAATGTTTCTTTTAAACAAAAATCGAAATTTTTTTCAAAGAGAAATAACGACCATTTCTAACTTTAAGGATGAAGTATGAAAGGGTGAAAATATGAAGAGTAATGGCGAACGGAAAAATAAAAGTGTCCAGGGCGGGAATCGAACCCACGACCTTCCGCTTCCCGGGCAGATGCCATGTCCACTAGGCTACCCTGGACATATTTTCCGTTCGTAAATATTATATAAAGTAATTTAAAATATACAATATAACGCGGCTGATGATTGTAAAACGAAAATTGCTATTATACCGCGAATTTTTCTTTTAAACAAAAATCGAAATTTATTTTAAAGAGAAATAACGACCATTTCTAATTTTAAGGATGAAGTATGAAAGGGTGAAAATATGAAGAGTAATGGCGAACGGAAAATAAAAGTGTCCAGGTCGTGGGTTCGATTCCCGCCCCTGGACACTTTTATTTTTCCGTTCGCCATTACTCTTCATATTTTCACCCTTTCATACTTCATCCTTAAAGTTAGAAATGGTCGTTATTTCTCTTTAAAATAAATTTCGATTTTTGTTTAGAAGAAACATTCGCGGTATAATTGCAATTTTCGTTTTACAATCATCAGCCGCGTTATATTGTATTTTAAATTACTTTATATAATATTTACGAACGGAAAAATATGTCCAGGGTAGCCTAGTGGACATGGCATCTGCCCGGTAAGCGGAAGGACGTGGGTTCGATTCCCGCCCCTGGACACTTTTATTTTTCCGTTCGCCATTACTCTTCATATTTTCACCCTTTCATACTTCATCCTTAAAGTTAGAAATGGTCGTTATTTCTCTTTAAAATAAATTTCGATTTTTGTTTAAAAGAAACATTCGCGGTATAATTGCAATTTTCGTTTTTTCTTAAGATAAATTACGATATTTTGTTCAAAAGAAAAATCCACGGTAAAACTTGTCAAACATCGTCCTGCAATCATTAGCCATATTATATTGTATTAACTTTTATTTTTACATATATAAATATAATTGTTCAATAACGGTATCTAAAATATCCACTAATCTTTACTGCTTTTTTTGGATAAATATATGAAAATATTTTTATTGACTAAATTTTAAAATCGGGAATTACCGAGTTTCCCTGATACATGTTTAGCATGTAATTTTTTTCTTTTCAAATTGAGGTATGAATTTTCTAGCCGATATAAATAACTATATATGTTTGAAAAAAATAGAGCAATCAATATATTATATTATGATGCACTTGCGCGCCATCTATTATCAAAATTCGAAACTATTTTAGAGGCGTAAGATTACTTTTGAAATTGAACAATTTGAATAAAAACATGTATTATAATATTTAAAAATGCCTATTTTAAATCATAAAGTTTTATTTCCGTTATTTCGTGTGGCAACTCGCCAAACTTCATTGGGGAACAAGATTATTTTGAGAAGCTCGCGTCTCAATTCTCGAGTATGTACAACTGCTATAAATCTTCAATATGCTTGTTTTTATTATAAATATAATTAATAATAATAAAATAATGTTTAAAATATTAATATATAGAGAATAAATAAATATACACATTTAAAATATAAGAATTGAAAATCAGTAATTTGTTATATATATATTTGTATAGTAGTGTGGGCTATATGGTTTTAAATTGTAAGTATAATTGAGGAATGTCTATTTTTCGGTTGATACTATTTTTATCTTCTATTGAGGTCCAGCTTTCTAGAAAAAGTATTGAATGTTTGTCCTTGTAATTTTGATATACTATTTCAGTTGAGTCTAAATTTGGTATGTGGTCCTGGTTCAGTGCCGTGGTCTACTAAAAGTGAAAGAAGGCTATAGTTTTGAAGGGGTGTCCAGTGTTGATTGGTTCTTTCTTCCAGAGTTTTCCTGTCTCTCCTATGTATGTAGCTGGGCAAGATCGGCACGGGATTCTGTAAATGAGGTTGGATTTTTGACTGTTGTTTGTGTTATGTTTAGTATCGGGATGGCGGAGAAGTGTTTTAAAGTTGGATGGTGTCTGGTATATCGTCTTTATATTATACTTCTTAAGGGCTCTACTGGTTCTTTCAATGCCATACGGAAGTGTGCAAAATGGATTTCTGAGATTGGCTATTGGAAGGAGGGATGAATGTTGATCTGTAGAATTGTCTTTTAACAAATTACTGATTTTCAATTCTTTTATTTTAAATGTATATATTTATTTATTCTCTATATATTAATATTTATATATTATTTTATTATTAATAATTATATTTATAAACATGCCTATTGTAGATTTTAGATATTTTACATTTTATAGCAGTTGTACATACTCGTGAAATGAGACGCGAGCTTATCAAAATAATCTTGTTCCCCGAAGAAGTTTGGCGAGTTGCCACGCGAAATATCGGAAATAAAACTTTATGATCCAAAATAGGCATTTTTAAATAACTTTATATATACTTCTCGAATAGTATTCCTAAAAATTCAAAATTATTTTCAAAAATACATTTAAAAACATCCTTGAATGTTTGAAAAAAAAAAAATTAAAAATTCAAGAGGAATGAAAAATATCTTCAATAGTAATATTCATTTCTTTTTCAAAAATTCTATGTGAACCTTTCAAAGAATATATTAGATGTATTTAGAATGTATTGCGATTTTTTTTTTAAATATAGCAGATTTTTATTCATAATATATTTATTCATAGAATAGATCAAACGATTTTTCGACAAATTGAACTTTCAATATCGCCATCTATTGAAGAATCTTCATGCCTAGCGCGTCCGCCATCTATCGGAGCTTAAGTACATAACACTCGCCGAGCTGACAGTTGCTCGCCACCTATAGGGCTTAGGTACATAACATTTGCCGATGTATTATTTACAGTTTACGCTATGTACATTTTTGGTTATTGACAATATTTTGTGATATGTGGAATGGATAACTTCCAAAATAAACTTCGACAATATCCCATACTAAGCTTCATCAAAGTAAGTAGGTTATTTAATTACAAAGGTATATATTGGATCGATAATAATTTATTTTACCAATATATCATTGGCTGAACGCCAACCTTTTTCAAAGTATTATAACATATTTATGACACACACACAATAGCATTTATTAGGGTTCAAGCATACAGGATATTCCCAGTATAGCAATCACTTTAATTGAACATAAATTAAGTACTATATACAATTTAGTATTAACATGAGCCCAAAAAAAATCCTATTTACACATGTTTCTTCCTTCTCCTCTCACAAAATTTGTATAAATCTATTGCACTTTGTCTACTTTTCACCGTTTTATGTCAACAACAAACTCAGCACTACATAACGTTAATAGAATTAAGTTAGAATATATATTTTTTACCAATATTCAATGGGAAGAAAAAAATATATAAGTAGGTTAGTAAACTAAACCTACAAAGATCTTGAATCAAAATCTAGATTTTTAATATACAACTCCTGTAAAATACAAAGGTAATAGAAGACCATGTTTGTTGAAGACAGCATAATTATTATAATTCAAAAACCATTTACTAAAAGATCGACAAAAGTTATTTTGACACTTCATCACAATACCAGAAATTAATGAGCAGAAATTGATTAAATTATGCATAAGGAAAGACTCTGTGATTAACTATGAGAGTTTTTATTGATTTTTGAATATTATCAGCATAAAACATAACGAAATCTCAGAGTCTGATAAAATAAGAATTAATTCTATTTAATAATCAGTTTAAATATTCGCTTAAAAAGAGCCATTGCTTAATATTTGCGCAAAGATGAATATAAATACTACAAATTTGTGTCTATTTTGAAGGAAACGGTACATTTTCATTTTAACCTTCCATTACCATCTCTATTTTAAACAAAATATTAGCCCATTACCTGGCTATGTAATCTTTATTATTTTAGGTGAGATTCGTGACTTCAACAAGAAAGCTGAGCTGTCCATAATGACTAGGAATATATTCAATGGTCACATTCTCAGGGATGCTTATACAAAGGTTTCTAAAATTTGCAAAGTAGCTTCCTTACTGTTAAATTTACGATTATTTAAGCAGACAGAATATTTTATATGAGGCCTTTTTTGATTTACAATAAAGTAAATTTCTTATTTTATCTTTAAATAAGTTTTGTGAATAAAAGGAGTATTCGAGGATTAATCTATGGATGCAATATATGTATATTAATTTTCTATCTTTAAAATAAGAGCGATTTATATATTAGTTTGTAATAACCTAAAGAAAATATCTAGTTTTGCCTTTACACCATTCACCTATTTTTATATTGTTTAACCAAAAATATATTGCTATGTACTTTGTAATGCCTTTTCAAATAAACATGCAATTTTTAGCATCTATGCAAGATTTCATCCGTGAAAACCAATTATCGAAGCACTTACACCAGTCATCTTCGGGGTGGAATTTACGGCAGTGATAAAGGCTTGCAGTGCTTCATCAGCAGTGTCAAATTTTATCCCTTCCAACGATAACTTAACTTTTTGGAAATAAAAGTCAAAAAGTGCTAGGTCTAGTGAATATGGTGGATGAATGACTAATTGGACACCAGAGGTCACTAAAGAGTCTAATGTTTGAGCTTAGGTGTGCGGTCTGAAATTGTCATGGTGAAGGACTCCTAATTGAGTTCATGGTCTGCTTTGCTTGACCGTCGCCGCAAACTAGCGGCCTCGGATCGGTGACAAAGCCACAGCAACAACTTTGGCAAACTGAGAAGCGTCCACCTAGAGATCATGGGTGCGGGATAACGGCCTTCATCAGCCTGATGATCATAGCTGATCACATGATGAGATCATAGCTCGTAATTATCGATTCCAGCTGGGTTCTTCTTAGTTTTCAGAAGATAGTGTAGAGGGTTTATCACCGACCCGAGGCCGCTAGTTTGGGCGACGGTAATAGATCGCGTCAAGTTTTGACGTTTATTTGACGGAGAAGCCTCTTATGTTTCTATGGATAAATAAACAATCAAGACAAAATCCATCAGTGTATTTTAATAATTTCGTTATATAAATACATTGTTGCGTTGTTGGCTGACAAAGAATAACTTCCGTGGGTTAAACGATCTTTAGGACTTTATTTAAGCCTAATAAATAAAATAATCGCAGAAGAATGCAAAATAAACAACAATAAAGAAAACAGCAGTTAAACTCCCAACTGTAGCACAGTAAAGAAAAGCAGGAGCAGAACAGGAGAAAGAAGTTCGTAGAACCTTCTAGAATCTTCCAGGAAGTACACCACAGTCCGACCTCTTGAGACAGCAGTGTTTGCTTGGAGTCCATCATAGCTTCCCCTCTTTCTTCTCTTTCTCCCCGACATGAGTTTCTCATCCCTATATCCCGGAGTATCTTTCCAGAACGTCATGTTGGTCAGCCAATCAGAAAGCTGCCAGCACCAAATCTTGCACAATCGCTTTAGGTTGGCCAATCTGTTGTCTTCCGCTTTTTCTACATTATTCTTAAACGTTCTATAACATTCTCTCTCCATTATGAAATGTGCTTTTCTTTCTGCGTAATAATATGTTCTAGAGAAATATATAAGTCTAGGTACAATTGTTGCAATATATGGTTAAAATA